GCCCAGGAAGCCAGGACTATGCTATGTACTGAGACGGTGCTGAAAGTATAATGTGGGCAGCAGTTCAATAAAACTAAAGGAAAGTTCCACAGTATCGTTTGGGGAGAGAAAAGTCTGATAGGATTATTAAGTAAGCTTTCTAAACAGCATGTGAAAGTGCAAAAAAAGTTTCTATTGAAAGAATCTCAGCATATCAGCAGCAGCTTATTTCCAGATAAGCTTTAACCAAGTTTCGGTTGCAATCTGATGCAGCGATGTACATTCCTGTGTAGCTATGCAGAGGCGATAGAGTGAGAAAACAATAAACAAATAGTAAAGAACAAAAGAGAAGATAAAGCAAATTTGTTTCTGGTGTTTGGCAACCAGAATCCAGATGATAGCTGAGGTGAAGGATCTATGGAAATGGTCATACTATGAAAGACAGGAAAAAGTGCTGCTGTTGAACTTTCATATTTAACAGGATCTCAGAGAAATCATAAATGAAAACTAGAACAGCCAGTGTCTAGTATTACTGCTTTATTATTTTTCACACATCCTTTGAAAACATTCACCATTTTGGAATGGGAGACTTCATTCAGTCAAGCAAAGGCTTAGATTCTTAATCTTTGTCTAAAGAACTCACTCCTTTAATTTTTAAGTTTTTCTCTAAGATAAACAGTCATTTCTGAATTGTCTTGCTTTAGCTTGAAGTCGTTGAATCATGGAATGGTTTGGGTGGGAAGGGACATTTCAAGGCCACCTAGCCCAACCCCCTGCAGTGAGCAGGGACATCTTCAAACAGACTAGGTTTCTCAGAGCCCCATCCAACCTGACCTTGAATGTTTCCAGGGATGGGGCTTCTACCCCCTCTCTGGGAAACCTAGGCCAGGGTTTCACCACCCTCAGGGTAAAAATTTCCTCTTTACATCTAGTCTGAATCTACTCTCTTAGTTTAAAACTATTACCCCTTGTCCTTTTTAGTTTAAAACTAGTACCCCTACAGGCCCTGCTAAAATGTTTGTCCCCATCTTACATAATTCAAGTCAGTTGAGTAAACCTGTATCTACAAAAAGCTGATGCATTTGATGATAAATTTAGTATGGTTTAGTCTTGCTTTAAATGTCTTCTGTTAAACCATTGACTCAAATTATATAATGAGGGAATATCTCTAAATTACTATAAAAAACTATAGTACTATATTTTTTTTTTAGCAGTTCTCCTTTTTACAGTATTAGAAATTAAAAAATAAAAATATCACATGGTTCCAACAGTATTCATCCTTCTCATTTAATTTTGCATATATATCATGTTTAAATGTACAGAGAAAAATTCCTGCACATCCTGTTCCATTCTCTCCTTTTGAGTAAATAAAACATAGAATGGAAATTTTCCACAATCTAATTTTAAAAATGCATCTTCCTCAGTCTGTCTGCCTATTATGGAACATTCAATAGGGATATAATATTATAGCAAAGTTAGGTTTTTATCTTCATAAAATTGGTATATTTACAATCATCATTATTCTAAAGGAGTATTCAACCTGTAGAACACAGAAGAATAACATAAAACAAATGAAGACTTCAGATTAACATATGAAATCTTCACATTTTCATTTGGAAAGGCTCCTTGGATCTTTTTGCGGGTCCTTTCTTTACACATCAAAAGTGACAGTGAGAAAAATGAGGTTTAGTAAGTGTTATGGTAAAAATGGAAGTATAATCATTTCCTAATCTAATTTTAAAAATTGAAGCACCTCTTTAAGTTATGGCCACAGTTTTATCTTTCTTCTTCCTTAACATGTGTTATTAGTAAATTATTTTTCAGTGAAATATTTCTGAATGTTCCCTTTGTAATCTAAATTCAGTATTAGGTCAATACTAGCTTTTGGGTTGGTATTTTAAAGCCCTAATAATACAGCTGTACTTTGACCTAGAAACCTATTTTGGTTTGATAGTTTTAACAACAATTTTTTTAACATCTGTCTGCAGTTTGTTTTACATTCAAGTATGTACTTACAATTGAAATATTATTATTACCTAAATAATATAAAGACCTGAAAGAAAGATTTGAAAACATTTTACAAGGATCAGTGGGAAGTTGTTCTTGGAGGCACATTTTGGATCAGTCTCTTTTTAGCAGAAGATTGTACAGTATGTAACTGCCTTGTGACTGGCAAAAGATCTTTCATTGAGCTCTTGAGAAAATTCAAAAAAAACTAAGTTCCTCTTTGCAAATCTCAGTTCAAAGGCTTTGTCTCCTATGTTGTCAAAGGGCTTTCATTCTCCAAGGAGTCAATGAAGTTGTTCCTAATTAAATTATTCAACAGTAACCCCTTTGGCTGTCCTTTTTAATTGTTTTCCAGGTACCATATACTGCAGATTTCAGCAAGAAATAAATTTAGATACAGCACAGTAGGAAGTTTTAAAAGCCAGCAGCTTCTGCAAAGGATTGTCAAGAACAATCTGCAAGGAGACCAGTTTTGGTGTATAGATTGTGAGCTGAAACAGTGCGGGAAAGGAAGTGCTACTTGCCAGCTCTCACCACCATATGCTTTATTATAATGTAATGTACAAAGAATATGGAGACAGCAGCTGCTCTAGAGGGAGGTGGCCACTTGTTGGATTTTGAAACCTTTCTGAAATGTCTGTTCATTTTCTTTTCACTGCTATTTTTTCCCTTTACTTAATGTCTTTGCATTCAAAAGATGTTCACTGAGAGAAATCTATTTTTAGAGCTCAGTAAGAGGAGGAGAGTGTGATCTACTTTTCATTGAAATAAAAGTAATTTTAGAGGTGCTCTAATATTTAGTTTTATATATTGTGAAATGTGGGTAGATTTTTCAATATCCAGTTATATCAGGTCATGATGAAATCACGTGTATAAATTAACTATTGTCTAGGATTGTATGTCTTTGGTTTCCAGAGCGTGTTTGCTTGATCACATTCACATTGAAGTCAATGTTGAGATTTGCTGACTTCAGTGGCAGAGAGGACGAAAGCATAAATGAGGATGTAAATCTAAAGTGGAAAGAGTTTGATATGATATGCAAAGAGAAATCTTTCACAGTATCACTACCCAGGCAGTGAAGTTGATTACTCCGTTGTTTGAGAAACCTGTAGTTCTTAGCAGGTTTCAGGAACCATGTGCCTGCAATGTAATGAAAATGAACCTAATTTATTTAAACAAAACTGTATTTTAAAGGGTTGGTTTTTTCACTCCTGAGATTTTCATGTCCACTGAATGTAACAATCCTTCCAGATACACGTAACTACAAGCTCTTGGGGTTTAAATTAGGGATTCTTAAGTGAATTTGAGAATCCTGAGGGAAGTTACATCACAGTGTAATGGGATTATAGCAGGGCTACATTATAACATATAATAAAATTAATATATCATATTAGCATTTTTGCTGAGTGTCAGTGTTTTAGGTTGATCCTGAAGTAATGCTAAAATGCCATCACAACACAATTGTGACCCATATAACTCAGTAAAAATGATGGTTCATATGGAGGAAAGATGTTACAATTCTTTTTGGAAGGATAAATCTCTTTGAGACAGAGATTTTTACATTATTATGTATTACTCACCATAGATGCATCTCTCTGAAAAAGAAATGACATTAATCTATCTGTCACCACGTATATATTTTCCTGGTGATAGAAAGATGATTCTTATGGAAAATCTGTGTTTATTTGCTTACTTCAGTTTTAGACCAGTCTATTATTATCTATCTGACCTTCATTTTTTAAACTACCTGCAATTGGTGGTTTTCTGGAGTACTGACTTAATTGCTGATGCTTACTTAAAGGTCCCCTTTTCCCTTTTTGTGGCCATACTTGTTCAAATAAATAAATTCAAATCTAAGTAGGATTACTGATCTGCAACTTTAAAAATTTCCTGCATTACCCCTCATCGCACTGAGGGGCGATGTAGGGAATTCCATCTACTTAGAAATTTAATTTCCAAAGAAGAATGGATGATAGTGAAATTAAACATGGATTCTGAATATAGTATGCAGTCCTAATTCTGCAAAATGTGAGGGAAAAGTTTAAGTCATGTTGAAAATGATGACTTACAGTTTTGTCGAGTCCAATCAAAACCTGTTTTCAATGCAAATTAAAATTATGAAAGGATTTTTCCTACTTTTTGTTCCCATAAGTATAGTTTAGCCCTAGCTTAAGCAACACTTTTCTAATTCTACTAAGTACAAGAAAATTGAGCTTATAAATAGTCTATAGTTCATACATGGGTCACTTTAAGTCAATCTGGAGTCTTGACAACACAGGAACTTTTTGTTTGGGGTGTATTACATCTCCAAAAAGTTTGTAAATGAAATGTATGTTTGTTCATTTATATTTTGAATGGGAAGGTAAAGCCTTCCTTGCCTCTAGAAGGACTGAGAATTGTCAGGAATTGCAAAATGTTTAGCCTACTCCATTTTTTCTAGCATACAAAGCATTTATTGTCTGAAGCAATTACTATTAGGTACTACTGGAAATACCTTTTTCACTGAGATTGACTGTTATGATTAGATGCAGGTTTATTTTTACATTTTTTTAAAAAAAAGGACAGATCTTTCTATAACTCACCATTATAACCATGAAAGTCAGCAAAACAATATGATTGTAAGCAAGTGAGAAATGGAAATACACTCTTGTTTCTGACAAATGAGAAGTAATTATTTTTGAGCCTAAAGAAAGTTACTTTATTTTTAATGATGTATTGCCTAACCATCACAAGGAATTCAACTGTCAATGGCTAATTTAAAAGAAAGGAAATGCAAGAGACCAAATGCAGTTATTTGTCTAGAGAGCTTTTCCTCACTGTGAGAATTGCTGCTTCAAGGCTGTTACAGCTCCATGGATTTTTTTGCTAGCTTTTAAGAACTGGAAGACACGTGACTGCACGGTTAGAGTTTCAGATCATAAACTGTACACTGAACTTTGTTATTAATTGTTCAGAAGGCATGGTATACTGCTTATCATTAGAGAAATTCATATCTCATTTTTTCTTCTCTTCAGCCACCAGAAAAAGAGGGTGGCCTGCCTCGCCAGGTCGGCAATAAGACAGAGTGTGGCCTCTTGGGGTTTGTCCTGGATTTGAAGCAGGATTACGAACCTGTTCGGAACCTCATCCCAGAGGAGAAACTCTATAAAGTTTACACATTCAATTCTGTGAGAAAATCAATGAGTACTGTCATTAAAATGCCAGATGGCAGTTTCCGAATGTACAGCAAAGGAGCCTCTGAAATTGTTCTGAAGAAGTAAGTTCAATGCGTTAGTTGCTATGTTTTTCCAAAAAAGCAAAACATCCTAAGACTAATAAGACATACATGGGAATTTTGTTATTTGGAATTTGCTATTTACAGCAGAAATATGACACACTTCAGTAGTATAATCTGTTACTGTGCTTTTTGATTTTTTTTTAAGTGCTCACTCTTGCACAACTGTTTGGCTTATTTAATGACAGGATCTTGGTGTCTCTGCAATAAGTTACAAACAAGTTCTCACTAGTATTTCAGAAGTGAATCTTATTGTTTAATCTGGAAACTTACACTAGAAATTTAAAACTTGCTATCAAAAAATGAGAATGTTGAATGAAATGAGCTGGTACAAGGAAATACTTTTCAGCTGTCATGCAAATATGCAATCAACTTTTGTGATTTTTTTTTTTTCTCCCCCCCCGCCCCCCTAAATTAAAAAGATGTTCCAGGATCCTTAATGCAGCTGGTGAACCTCGTATCTTCAGACCACGCGACCGAGATGAAATGGTGAAGAAAGTGATTGAACCTATGGCCTGTGATGGACTGAGAACTATCTGTGTCGCTTTCCGAGACTTTAACAGCAGCCCGGAGCCTGACTGGGACAATGAAAACGACATATTATCTGACCTGACTTGCATCTGTGTTGTTGGCATTGAAGACCCAGTACGGCCAGAGGTATATAAAATTGTTATGTTATAAAGCATGTCTCGGAGACCTGAACAGAATTTGAACTACAGATTTCTTGCAGTTTTTATCTTCTTTTTTTTTTTTAATTTTTTAAATTTTTTTTTTAATTAGCTCATTTAAAAGATGATGGAAGTGAGCTTTAGAAATAGACTTTACCTGATATAAAATCAAATTAGGGGACATATTATGATATAATATGGGGACATTTACCTGATATAAAATCATATTGGGGACATAACTGGGACTGCCAGAAATAAAT